CAGCAGCAAAATGGCCTGCGAAGGAAGGTGGTGAGCTCCCCCTCACTGGCCGTCTTGAAGCAGGGGCTGGACGAATGCTTGTCAGGGATGCACTAGGCTGATCCCACACTGAGCAAGGATGGCCTCTGTGGCCCCTTCCAACTCCGTGATGAAGAAGAAGAAGAAGAAGAGATTGGATTTATACCCCGCCCTTCACTACCCAAAGGAGTCTCAGAGCGCCTTACAAACTCCTCTCCCTTCCCCTCCCCACAACAAACACCCTGTGAGGTAGGTGGGGCCGAGAGAGCTCTGACAGAAACTGCTCTTTTTCAAGAACAGCTCGTATCAGAACTATGGCTTGCCCAAGGTCATCCAGCAGGTGCAAGTAGAGGCGTGGGGAATCAAACCTGGTTCTCCCAGAGTAGAGTCTGTGCACTTAACCACTACACCAAACTGGCTCAGTGATTCCATCTAAACAAATAAATCCAGGATTTTTTGCATCCAAATGGGTGTTTCGCCAAAGAAAGGGGGTGTAATTAATGAAAAAAAATTAAAAATATGTAAGGCTACATTTTCTTTTTTCTTCTTCTTTTTAACAATCTCTTTATTGGCTTTTCCAAAAAAAATATATATAAAAAAACAATGAAAAGTCACAAAAGTTATTCCAACAATAATATCAATTAAATATTTTTCCTTCATTTTAACACAATACCTTTAACAATAAATACGCACTTGTTTTCTGTAAATATAATACTTTGAGAACATTATGCTCTGGCCATAGTAGTGAAAAATCGTCGGGATTATCTTTTTCCATAATCATACCTATAAAAAATTAAAAATATATAAGGCTACATTCTCTTTTTTCTTCTTTTTTAACAATCTCTTTATTGGCTTTAAAAAAACATATATATATAAAAAAACAACGAAAAGTTACAAAAGTTATTCCAACAATAATATCAATTAAATATTTTCCCTTCATTTTAACACAATAACTTTAACAATACATGCGCACTTGTTTTCTGTAAATATAATACTCTGAGAAAATTATGCTCTGGCCATAGTTCGGAAAAATCGTCGGGATTATCTTTTCCCCCTAATCATACCTATATTTGGATTTATGTTATTACTATTACTTTCCCACTAAGGTTATACCATAAAGTCACAGAAATCGATATTTATTTTCCTTACATATTTAGTTTATCTAGAGTTATAAAAAAATAAGTTAAACATAAATCTTCATAATTAATCCATTTTTCCTTATCCCATTTATTCTATAATCAGTTTAGAAATTAATTTTCTATTCAGGTAACTTCATATTTTCTATCACGATCCCTCCTATGTTATTCTACTTATTATTTGTTCAAGGGGACTGGCGGCTTCCAAAAACACATTATTTTAAAGAAACAGGATTCCCCAAAGGGACA